GGTGGGGGTGGAGGGGTGGGTAAAAAGAACCAAACCACTTTACCTTAAAAAGCATCATGGGATCAGAAAGCTGTTCCAGGGAGCAAACAAAATCTTGAACTACTCCTCCTCTGTCCAACTTATCCTTGATCCTTTAAAAAAATAAAAAATAGTGCACCACAATGCAACAGGAACTACCATCACCACCTAGCCTGCAGATAAGCAATGATCCAGACTGTCTGTTATATTCAAGAAGCTGGCAAAATAACCTAGGTAGGACTCCCCCTCAGAATTCTCTCATGGGCTGTAAGACTGTCCTTGCCACATGGCTCTCAATTTTTTAATTAAGTGTCCAACTGTGAAAATAGGACCTTGCTGGGGGAGCGGAAAGCATACTCGCAACAGAAATGGGCACTAACTAGACTATACATTCTGTCACAACAGTTATTCAAGGGTGGCCGTTTGTGAAGCACAAGACTTTATCCTCTTATTTTAAGTGAAGACATTCAGAAAACGTATCAGAGATTTAAAAAATGGCAAAAGGACACCTAAAATTGTATTAGTGGTTGTACAGCACTGTGTGATCCAAGTTGACTTATACCTGGGGATTAACTCCAGTTTTATTGCAGGGCAAAATGGGCAAGGAAGACCTTGTAGAGGAAGGTGCATGTTCCCCACTGAATAAATAAAGACGACAACAAAGAGCTGTCATTCCCCAAAAGATAATGTGCATCCATTTCACTGAAGTCTGATAGAAGCATCTATTCCATTTAAATATCTTGGTATTACAATGACTCCAAATGTCCAAGCTAGCTTCATCTTCATCTTTGATGGGTACTGACTCTCACCGCTGTGCAGTTTACTACAGTAAGAGCCTAATCATGTACTGGATTTCCCTTCAGCCTCAGTAGAGTAGGAGAAGGAAAAAGAAACTTTGACTACCACAGAATTACCAGTAGAAAGGACTGGCCTCTCTGCGCTCTTCTTGATTTCTCTGAAAAAATTCCCACAGCCTAGGGACTATATGTACTCAACACTTCAGAAAGTATTAATGCCACCAACCTGGGTATGGCTAATACTAAGGGAGCTTATATATTGGTTTTTCCTGTGCCTTCAAATGGGAGCACAGTGTGCATGGGACTATCCCCTCATGTTTCTCATGCCCCCTAAATAAAACAGTTTCATTAGGAAAAAAATAAATCTCTCCACTCCTGAATAAAAATCATACAAAAGAGTGACTCTGTAAATTCACCTTTCTACAAACTCCTTGTTCTTACAACCAGTTGCAGTATCTTTGAAACAGTAACTTTCACTGCTGATCATGAAAGGGTAGATGATTGCCTGGGGATAGGTATTTGCAATCTCTTCAACAGTGTGTTGCACGGCTACTGCTTCATCCTTGTCAAGTAGTGCCATCATCTGGCTAATCCAACCGATGAACTGCCAACAGGGAACCGAAGAAAGCTGCAAAAACACAAGAACTGCCTTCAACTTTCGTCCTCCTTGAAAACACTAAATGTAGCAAATGCAAACAGAACTGCTCTGTGGCCCAGCCTGGCAGGCAGAAACACGTGAATAGGAAACAGAGGATGTCAACTAGCTTGCGTAAAACACTCCCCAGTAAAGCAGATTTTATTATTATTACTACTACTACCACCACCATGAACTACTGCTGCTTAATAGGTTTTCCTTTACAAAGATTTGATCAAGAGAAGGCTTTATACTCAAACTTGTGGCTTTTCTGCCTGGATCCAATATAATAATTTTTAATCATCAGATTCAAACAACTCAAAAATTTGAAGAGATATTCAAATACCATTGGGTTGAAGTCTTTATTTGAGTTAAAAAAAGCCAGGAAGAAGACCACTGGAAGTCCCACCACAGTTTTGTCATTCCCTCAACTTTAAAGAGGTTTGGACTTGCTGACAGGTATTAATTTCAGTAAAGCATTCCCCACCAATATACTTCATGCTCACCTCACTCCAAAAGCTGTATTACTTTTGAAAAGAGTGCTAGAATATATTTTCTTGCGACAGAAAGAGACCAGACTCTGACTCCTTTCCTCCTGTCTCATCCCTTCCTAGTTTTCTAACAGAGTTTAAGATCAGACTGCCAGTATTTATCTCATAGAAAGAGAGAGGACAAAGAGGTGAGGTCTGTGAACTGGATCAGGCATCAGGTTTTGTTTGAACCATCAGAGTTTCACTGCGGCCACACCTTGTGCACCGTAGCCATTTTGGCTATGTTCTCAGTTTCTTGGGATAACTAAACCATGTTTCTGTCTCTCTTGAGTTCTTCCCCTGACAGGGCCTGGCACTCTCAGAGCACCAGCGTGGGCAGGTCGAGGCAGGAACAGGCATGAGTCACAGAGGACTTCTCTGTCCCACCACGGTATCCTGCTGTGGAATGGCAATGGAGGGACAGGTTGTGGAAGGGAGGAAGAAGCTGTAGTAACCTCTCAAGTGAAGCAGGACAGGGAAAAGTGGGAGAAGCGGAAAATGAGCCTGGAAAAGCTGTTGGCTTCCTGCATACAGGAAACTCAGACTACAGAAATAAGATGTGTTCCTCACCCTAATCCTACACACCTTTATCAGCCCACTTAAATTGTTCAGAACGAAGAAAAAACATAATATATTTTTTTTTCAGCAGCTCTCAAACTAATAGTTGGAAACAGAATAATGATAAAAAAACTTTTAAGAAAAAAGTTTCTGTCCATATGAATTAGGCTCAGCAAGTTAGAGAAAAGACAAGGAACAATGACAGGAAAAAATTTATCTGATTTACCTGAAGCAAAACTTACCAGTCTAACCTCTCTGTCCATCCAACCTCCACCCCACCTTTTAAATTCGATTTATAGTAACATTTGCTGCCAGGAAAATGGAAGCAACTAACCTCTCGTGTCACTAGACCCAATGTCTCTGCTGGATATCTTTCAATTATTTGCAGCAGTCTAGGAAATCTCAGCCTGGCTTCTCTGGAATTCAGTTTTAAAGCTTTTATCATTTTATCCACCACAATAGCTGGGAATAACTGCAGATCTGCAGTGTTAATTTCTGCCAAGAGACATTAAACAAGAATTATCAGAAACAGCATCACTTGTTCCACGTCTTTGATCATCTGGAACATTCATCTTTACAATTCAGTATTTTCTTCCCCATGTATTTTGTATTTTACTTTGTTCTCCTGCCCATCTGTTTGAACTGCACACATCAGCAACACATGTAGTTGGGGACTGTAAGGATTAGCTTTATCAGGAAGCTGCATCACTGCCGGTATCTTGCCTGCGTTAAACACAGCACTGCTGTGGTCTGGAAAGGAACAAGGGAAGCATCTGCTGGATATGATACCTATCTCACAAGAGAGAAGGAGACTACGAGTGATTCACTAGTACCAAAGCTAGCAGTAGCAGTGGGGGAAAGAAAAGCCACATAAACATTGTTGAACTGGAGGACAGACTGTTCCATTTAAATTCAAGCTGTGTTGCTCAGAGAGATATCCTGGGTATCACAGAAGCTCAAGTATCACAGATAAATCCACCTCACATGCTTAGGAGAAATCTTGACTAACCAAGCAAGCCTTCTTCTTCCCTACGCAGATGCTGGTCACAGAAACCAACCAAAGTCATATACGCATCGATAACTCCCACCACATCTACATGTTCCATGGAGTGGGACTGCACCTCCTCTTCAGACTTCCTTGCAGCACTGCTGAAACACTGAAAAGCCTTCTTGTTCAGACCTGCCAACACCTGAAATCCAACCATAAGAGGAAAAAGAGACATCTTAGCTCGTAGCATTCAACAATTCTTTCTGAAACTGGAGCTTGGTTGCAAGTCTTGAGCAGATAAAACTTTAACTGTATTGGATGCTTTGAGCAGCTGATACAAAGGGGAAAATAAAAAAAAAGGACGTTATTTCTAGCCGTGATTTCCAGAATTTTAGTTTTCAGAATTTTCAATGGAAAAACATAAAACACACTTTTAACGTAAATTACGTCTCTGGAAATGTTATGTGGACTTTTTATAACTGCAAAAAAAGTTAATGTTACTGGAGTTTCTGCAGTTAACAGAAAACACAACTAAAAATGCTATTTTTCTCCTATTAAGACATATCTGCAACATCTGCATTACAGCTGTACTTAGAACTCATGTTAAAAAAACATGCATCAAACTATTTCAAATCTGGTGTTGTTATCCCTATTACAAACATAGTCATTTTGATCATACATTTCTAATGCAGCTTGTACAATGAAGGGCTTGACAATTTCCTTTACAATGGAATGTTTATAAATCAAGTATATATATTCTCATACTGCCAACAAGTTTACCAACCTCAGACACTGCAGCCATTGTAGTTATTAAGGAAAATACAGAGCTGCTGCAGGACAAGTTGGAACAACTGGAAAATATTTTTAATTTCAGGTAGGTAGAGGGTAACTATCAGGGTCAGAATATTGCTTAATACTAAGCTAAAAAAAGGCTAAGATCTTTAATCTTATAGAAATATCTGGTATCCCAGTCTGACTCAGACACAGAAGAGCTTTTAAAGTCACCCTTTAGATTTCCTTAAGAAGAATGCTCTTAATAATTAGCCAATAAATGAAGCTTAAGCTTTTGCTCAAGTTTCTACACATCTGAAAATTTACAATCTTTCTTTGCAGGAATCGCTTCTTTACCTGCTTTTCTTTAACAATCACAAAAACACAAATTAAGAAAAAAATGTTGCTCTTTAATACTGATATGGTTCATATCTAAGGGTCTTCATGGTGGCTTTGTGAATGAATAGAAAGAAGACAGCAGTGGTACTTCAAATTCTTAATTTGTTAGACAAGAAGTCAGTGCCACAGCATCTGGGACAATTGACAACATATACTATTTTGGATGAAGCACGGTCTGTCACTGTATTCTTCAAATGTGCGCCTCCCAAAAAAAAGCAAAGATGACCTGTGCAGGGTATCTTAAAAGACCCCTCTCCTCAATATCACTAAACTAATGTAGATAAAGTAAGTATATCAGTATCACTATGAGTATTATGATATCTCTTTATCAAATAGGATAGTTTGATAGCATGAAAAAGCTTAGAAGCACCCAGCAGAAATAAAGGCATTCTTTGAGAATCATGTTTCCAAGCTTTGTCTTGCCACCGTGCATGTGAGTGCTATGAATATGCCTTTCCCCTCCACACAAAATGCAGGAACATAGAAACACAAGAATACTCTCCCAGTTAAAAAGGCTACAGTGGTGCAGAACTCCAGGAGAGCAAAAACCAGACAAAACAGCAACCACAGTGGGTTGTTGTTTATTTTGTTTCAGGTTTTTTTCCCCCCTTCCCCTAGCTGGTGTTCCTGGACAAATCACTGCTAACAGCACAAGGGTTTCACATTCTTTATATCTATCCATATACATCACCATGTACTGAAGTAGTGATTACAATACTGAAATACCTAAAAGCTTTCCCCCTCTTATTTACCTTTTCAGGACTCTCAAGACTTTCTCCTGATAGTACTGATATTTTTGCAGCTTTTTCTTCCTCAATTTGCTCAAGGCATCTTGGATCCTGACTAAAAGCATTGGCCATGATGCGGTATGTAGTACCCAGAAGAAGATTCTGGTTTCGGAGGGCCGTTATCTTCTTGCTAGGACAGTCAGATTCTGTTGGAATTCAAAAACAAAGTCAGTAATTTGACAAGAAAGTACCTTTGTATAATAAACAAAGTGAAGCAAAGAGAAGGCTGTTACCAAGCAGGGAGATGGTTTTCAACACAGAAAGCATGCGTTCAGGACAACTCTGTTTCCGGCTGCAGCTATGTGAAAAGCGGCAATAGGCACAATTCCACCTCACCAGCCAGTCCTCCCTTGATTTGGCTTCCTTGTGTAGGTCTTTCAGAAGCTTCTTGGCAACTGAGAAGCTGTTCTGTATTCAGATTAAGACAGAATTTTCAGAAAATATAACTGAAGAGGAAACAAAACCTTCCTGCAACCAGATTAATGGATGAGAGGATTAAGGTAACACAAGTAAAGCTAAGCAAGATGAAGACAGGTCCACTGCTCGTTGGGTCTCATATTAAAAAACAAATCTGTGCTAATGAAGAAATTTGAAAAGAAAAAGAGAAGAACAGACATTTGACAAATGGAAGAAATTAAAATAATTCTACCTGCATGATTAAATAGGCATTAATTGTTCTGCAGTACAAACACATATGGGAAACATAACTTGGTTTATAACAACATTAAGGAAACCACTTATGTTTGTGTTTTGAAGTAAAGTTTCATGTAAGTAACACTGAAGGAAACCTTATTTTTCATTTAGTCCTTTAAGAGTGTATAGCCTACACAGCACTAACGTTATATAGGTCATTAAGTGATTAAAATAAACTCTGTCCCTGATTGCAGATTTCTGCAGCATTTCAGAAGATGAGGGGACCTCGACTTAAATATTATTAGTCTTAAGCGTGAAACACTAAAGGCCAATTATCAAAGACAGTTACGTTTCAGTTAGTTTAACAGTCAGATCCAAAACAAAATTTCTAAGTCACTTAGGTTAATTAACACTTCTATAAAGAACTAAAGCTAACAGCATTAATGAAAACTGTAAAAAACCATAACTGTAAAAAACATAACCATAAACTGTTTCATCATTGCTGATTGAAGTAAATTATATTGATTCAATTTGAATTTTATTTGGGTGGGGTTTTTTGTACAGATTATTTGTAAATTAGAAAGCATAATGTTTTATTGCAATCATCCCTTTCATTAAAGGCTGAAGCATTTCAGATATTCTAAAGGGCAGGTAAATAACGTGTCAGAAACCATCTGCAGATCAGAGGCCTTCAGGCACATTTCCAGTAATGATAAATTATCATAAACTTTTGTAATTATCATTTATCCATTTGTTTTTCTTCTCTGTAGAATTTACTTTCCTGAGTTTTCAATATGTCCTGAACAGTAAGGTCAAAAGCAGACAAGGTCTGCTCTAACAAAAAGGGTGCCCAAGACCACCTAAGAGGCTTTTCCAGCTGTAGTTTCTATATATTTTCTCACAAAACTGAAAGCTATCAGACAGTACAGTCACCTGTTTCCTGGCACTTTCTATCATTTTCATTTTCATGTCGAATTTGCAGCTTTTAATCATTGAGTACATGTCTTCATCCTGTTGATCCACTTCCATTTGGTCACCAGCACCATATTCCTCATCCACCTCCATACTATCATTGGCCTGATCACAGAGAAGTTTCTCCTGCAGTTTGTCAAGAAAGAAACACCTGCACAATGACAACAGGAGTACAAATCATTCTGATATGCATGCAAGGGAATGAACATTCAAAAGTGTTGTTCTACCTGACAGTAAACAAAGCTTAGAAATAATGGCAAGCTACGGCAATCACCCTTAACAAGGGCTAAACATAGTCCTCAAAATCTGGGAAGTCACAACCAGGGACAGGTTGACCCTGAGAGCCTTCTAGGATCTTGAATCAATGAGATTAAGTATTAGAAAATGTCCATAACAGAGTAGGATTTTTAGTTGGTTTGTTCCTTTAAAATCAAAGCTACAACCTCAAAGTTCACCAAGACAGCTTGCATTCCAACTTGACAGAAGTGCAAACAGCAGTCTTGCTTATATTGTGTAAGTGCCAGGCTATATTTTATGTCAACTTGCGATTCAAATATATATGACACAAACACATGTCGACATCGGAATTTGTGCTGCAGAAAATACCAGCGACCATATCCAACATTTGAAAAGGAAATGCTATTAATCAATGCTAAATCTTTTTCATCCTACAACCAGTCCTATATAATTTAATAGCATCTCTCATTATGTAGACTGTTGTTCAATGCAGGGGAAAGCATTGCAGTCTGGAGTAGGGCTTGGCGCTGAATAAAGGCGCATCCTTTGTCACTAATTTAAGATGAGATAAAGGTTTTTTTAAAAGCACATAAAAATGTTCAAGACACTGACAAGAAATAAATGTTTTGGGACTTTGTAAAGGAGTAAGCTATACTATGTATTCTGCCTAATATTTAATTGCCATAAGGTCTTCCACACCCATGCTTTCCTGGCACCTGGAGGAAATAAAATAAATTACACAGCACAGTGGGTATCAGCAGAACTGTTGAAGAAGTTGTCCCCCGGGAAAAGGGAAAGAACCTAGATTTGCATGCGAAGAACGCATTGGGATGAAGACGGATACCATGGGGAGGACAGACAACTTTCAAATTCAAAAAAAGCATTCCAGCTTCTTTGGAGCTAATCCAAAGGAGTCTCCAGAGGGCTTTTGCTCTTTCTAGCAACAGTTGCAGAGCAAAAGTCTCCAATTACAGCCCTGGTCATTACCTTTCCTATAAACACATGAAGCACTGATAGTGAGAGGGCTGGGCTTATTTTGTACACTCCCTAACTTTGGAACTACCTACAAAGTATTTTCATTCATAACAGACTGGCCTTTCGGGTGGTGTTTCATTGCGCTAAATGCAGCTGGTCTACTCAATTACAAGCAGAGGTGTTTAAGGGCTGCTGAAGTGGGCTAGCTGGTACAGTGCATGTAGTCACTTATGCAAGAAAATGCCTAAACCAACAGTTATGTTTTCATATCTAAATGCAGTTTATTCCCTGTCCATTTCTCAACCGCCTTTGTTTCTCACAACAGGTTAAGTAACACAAAAACACAGTTATACTGATAAAGCTATTACAATGGAATTAAAAAAATAAAAAAAGTCACACAGTGGATGAACAACCCCCTCACATGAAAACAAGCAGCATTAGAGAAAGCACCTCTCAGAACTCTACAGGCAGACAGAATTAAAGCTAACCCAAAAATGTAATTTTACCGATTTGTAATGACATCATCCCAGATGTTCATAGGATCCATTTTAGCATCTGGATATCTGCTTGTCCAAATTCTGAGAAGTCTCTTAAGGGAAGCCTGTGAAGCTAAGTTACCTAAAAGCCAATTAAGAATACTTTGAATCCATCTAAATCGAAACAGCATGAAAAAGGCCTAAACCAAACATAGTTCAATATTCAAACCACAAAACTGCAATAAAACAACCCATGTGCATTTCTGGGCTTGCATTAAATACACTATTTAGTGATCACATTGCTGAAGCACAGGAGTCTCAGCAAGGACATCAGTGTCAACTGTCACTGGGAATCACCCCTGGGTAGGTACTTGTCCATAGAGGAATATGCTGTGCTGGAATAGAGTTGAACAGTTAACTAAATGTAATATATAATTTGGTTTATGTGCACAAATTTGTATTGCATGCCTACCTCAGTAGCCATAAACTATATACCACATCCATCTTTTAACTCTGCTAACCACTATTTGGTACCAAAAGTGAGTCCCTCTCAATTAAAAAAAACAAACAACTTAGTTTAAAACTATTACTCACTTAAAACTATTACTTACTTAATTTATCACAAGAGCTAGGCTAATAAAACTCTGCAGTAGCACACAGAAGTATCTTCAAGTCTGTCTCACACAACTGCAATAGTTCTTACTGTCAAGAAGACAGTAAGAAGTAATTCCAGACCTATATTCCTTCAAACAGGAGTTCAGTCCTCTAAGTGTGGAAACTGAAATTCAAAGTTCAGGAAACCATAATTATTTAAAACAATGAAAGGAAAATCACTTAATTAAAAAATAAATCTTTACTTCTCTTGGTCATAAAATTGATGAAATCTTGTGTATCTGTCAAAGCTTGTACAGACTGCAGCTTAGTCATTCGACTTTGATATAACAAAGTATCAATGCTGGAATAGCTCTGAAAAGAAAGGGAGAAAATGGAAGGTTTCTTATACAGAATTTACAACACGGTTCTATTAAGTGCTCTACAAACTATTTATGTGATGCTGCTACATATTATGCTCTACAACCCAACATTCTACAAGTAATTTAATAACTTGTAATCTCAAAGCAACTCTGCTTTGGACAAGTATAGAGGCATATTCTAGCTGTAGTTCCTATCGTAGGTTTTAGAATAGTTCTGCAGTCTAATCAAAACTTGATAACAGATCGAAGTTGTAACCTCTCAATGTAATGGTCTCTTTTCGAGTTTATTCTAGGGACAGGAGGCTTCAGAAAAGATGAAATAAATAAATCTGCTATTAGTCTGTACAAGCAATTTGAAAAATTTTTAATAGGTGAAATCAGAACTACAAAACAAATTTAAAACGGAAGGCACTCCAGTGGCGGGTTCAACTCCCATCATTTCAAGCAGTGAATTCACAAGAAGTTTTGCCATGACTGGAAAGCACCTAGATTTCATTCTATTTGGGCAAGTGTTTCTCTCAAGAGTATAATCTAACAGCAGTAAAAAGTTTCATTGTTCCATGAGTTTATACAGAAAAATCTTAGAGATAGCAGAGACTGTTACCTGCATGAAGATTTGCATGCCATTGCTTATGTAATATTTGGCTCTGTCATAATCATCTTGCAGGATGTAAAGGAGACCAAGCTCTTGGCTGTAATGCATTTCTATAATTGCCTTCTTCTGTTCTGTCTTCATTGCCTCATCAATAAAAGTTAGCAAAGTCTGGTCATTTTCCCCACTGAGCAGTAACTTCAACTTACTGCGAATTATATAGGGCAGATACACCTCCTACAAGATGAAAATATCGTCTTTATTTCCAGGAACGGAATCTTAGATTATAATTTTTTTGTTATCAGTAGCAGATTGAATACAATTTTTTAAAATGGTTTTCTTAGATGTTTTAACTTTAGACAAATTTAAATTTGCTAACAAATCACAGCAGCCTTTTCTGATAGGCTCAGGAAATTGCTATCAAATTCTACCAGTTTCAGAACCAGTGGTTTGGTAAATCTTGATGATGATGATAAAGCTGGTCCTATATGATCAGCCATAGACTCAAGGTAAAAATTAAACATAATAAAACCAGCAGAAGTAATTGTTTCAATTATTTTATATATGAGAGTCTCTGCTAATTTCCATTTTAAAAGCAATCCAAATAATGCAATTGATTTCCACCTGTGATCAAATTACTGTGGGATGGACATCCCTGCAGAGACAAAAACAGTGCAGTACCAACAAAATTATTTCTAAAAACCTGGAAAAATGGATCATTCCACGTTTTGCTTAGGTCTGGAGGTTTTCCACTATCAATATTAATGGTAGCACAATACTCCAGAGACTTCCACTCTGTGAGGTGGTCATAGCATTCCAGAGATGCAAGTTCCCAGAAATCCTTCTCTGCTTCTGTTGGCTCTCCATCTTGCCAGTCTTCTTTAGAGAGTGCCTAGGGAATGAATTTGAGGGGGAGTAAGGCTCTCAGCTGGAATCTGACACTAGTTTCAACTCTAAGTCACCAGGAACTTAACAATTCATGCTCTCATAAAAATATCTATCCATTTACCAGAACATGACAGCAACATTAAATGCAGAAAAAAAAAAAAAATCAAGCTTTTCAGTATTTATATATAAATTCATTTCAGGTAGGCATCTCTGCATCTTTAAAGAGCAAAGATTTTAAAAGAAGGTTAAAGAGATCCTTCTTCATTTTTACCCACTGTAACGCAGATTTTCTTTGCCAGGAACACATGCAGTTTGCTCTCCTGGAGTGGCAGTTTGCCTACGGTGTTTTACTTGTCTGCCTAGGTGATTGCAGCTGTGAAGCTTTGTAACAAAAACTAAAAAGTATCATGCTTACTGCTCTGCTGTGATTGCTCATCTGTTCCCACGTCTTTACAGACTGAACCATCAATCAAACAAAACACAAGAACATTTTAAACAATATGCTGCTTCTCAAATTATTCAATTTTGGCTTATTAGTTTTAAGTCATGAGAGATTTATGAAACAAAAAAAATCTTGTTGTCATTTTACCTCATCATAATACTTAGCTGCTTCAGAATAATCACTCCTTGCCTCTGCCAACAATGCTTTCTGCGTGATTTCCTTAGTCCCAATCTTACCACTGAAAATACCACGAAGGACATCATAATCCCCAAGAGATCGGTAGAGCCTAGTAAAATTGAAATGGGAAATCATTTAATCACTTGAACAGAGGTGTATCAATGCAAACATAAGCTATTTAAAAAATAAGTCAATAAGCAGTAACAGGAAAAAACCAAAGAAAAAATTGTATTTTTTTTCTAGAATATCATAAATACATATTTAACTAGATTAACTTAATCTTGTAGCATAATACCTAAACCGTGGAAACTCCTGCAGCTGAAAAGTTATGAACAAGATGCTTTTCACAGTCTGACAGCATCATCAGGGTGCATAGCTGTTAGGTCTAGCTACTGTAACTGAAAGATAGTCATTAAGACCAAGAAATTAAAAGTGTATCTAATTCTAAAAGGGGGAAAGACATAAGCCATAAAGGTGGAGTTCTTCACAAGGCACAAATAAATGTGAGTAAATTGTCTCAAACAAGAATTTACTTAGCAAGTTCAATCCATCTGATCACATCTGGGGGAAGCTCTCTCCTCCCACGCATCCGCTTGGTTGGGGGCTCCTCCACAGGAGACAGAGCCATGAGGGCGTGCTCCAGAAGAAGGATGCCCACTGGCTGCTGTAAACTTGCAAGGCAGCTGGTGCTCACGTTAGCTGAATCCAGTTCCAGTAGCTCTCTGTGCTGGTAACTCATTTCCTAAGAAATAAAACAACAGGTGTCTGCTTTGTCTAAAACTATACTGATGGTTACCTTTTATAGATCACCTACTTGGTATCCCTTTTCCTACAGTGCAAGCTTTGAAAATAAGTCCTTAATTGTCCACAAGTTCCCAACTCTGAGAAAAGTGGGATCTTTTCCTTCTGTGCTGTTGCTCCTTGGACTAAGAACAGCAGAGAAAAACCTCTCCCTTCAGAGAGAGGGTTATTTGAAGGGAGGGTTATTCTCTCCCTTCAGGGGAAAGGTGTATGGAGACATTCACAGTCTCAACCTTTCCTTCTGTCTGTTGGCAGTGGCGTGCTTGCTACATGACAGCCGTGTTTCACTTAACCTACTGAGCGGTACATTTGCCATAAGCCAAAGGCACGATTAACCATGATGCCTTCTCTGAGCTGGAGGCTCTCTCACCACACACTTACCCAATTTTAGCGTACCACAGCTTCCTGTTAGACTCATTTAGTCCTGTACTCATCTAGTCCTGCTTGGTTTAAAGACACAACAACATTTCTAGCAGGTCTTTATCCTATTTAACATCAGTCCAACTACAGAAAAACCTCTTTTCAGGAACATTCTTGTTTACCTGAAGGTTTATTTTACGTACTTAAATAATTATCCCAAATACAGATAAATATATAAAGAAAGTAACAGATATGTTTATTAAAGCCAAGTGGTTTGTTTGGTTTTTTTTTTCCCCACTTAAGAACCTAAAGGAAAGTTGCAATAATATCTTAACCAAACAGGAAGAAGAAAAACCTGCAACATGGAAGAGGGATAATATAACTTTCATTACAAGAAACAGCACAGAGTTTTAGGACAAAAGTTAAAGTTTGATTTTTGCAACACAGTATGTCGAAGAATACTAAGTGAAAAATAAATCATTCTTTAGAAATTGCAAACAGGAGACTGTGAGAACAACCAAGCTACACTTCTCTGATAAATGGCAAACATCACAAAAACTGCAGAATAGGCATCTGGCATAAGCAAACATTACACAGCTTGTAATGACTCTCACACCAATAAATTTGTACTCACTAAAAAAAGAGAAAAAGAACAGCTTCCTGTAGCTTCTCAAGTGGAGAAGCTTGTCCACTTTCTTGAGCTTCTCAACCAGGTGGATCTCAATGAGGAGATTCACCTGCTATTCAGGCAATTTCAACTAGTGGTTTCTACCAAAGATGCACGTGTATCCCATACACTTTTATGTATGGGCACACCTTCCTTGACTGCTAACTTTTAGGGGTTATATCAGGGATGTGGTGCCAGCTGCAGTCTCAAAACTTAGAATAGTCTTGCTAATGTAAGATCAAAAGCCTTTTCTCAGCCACGGCTAAGAAAAAGTATAAGAACTGTGCAAATATAACAGTACTTCCAGAGAATGAATACCCTCCCAAACTCACAATTCACATTGTCCCACAACAAAGGGGAGCTTTCCATTTAGTGCCTCTCAGTGACTGATCACTTATCTTCTGAAATCAGTGGGAATGTTCCTTGCTCTGTATGCAATGCATTCTGTCTTTATTTGCACCACATGTTCAAAGATTAGGATGAATGGCATCCAACCTAGTCTGACAGATAAAATATTTATAAGGCAATTTCATGGTCTTCAGAAGCCAGGTATCTCTATGGAGTCTATTTAAACTTTTGTCACGGGTTTAACTTCTTAGTATTTCAGCTGGTTTTTAATCTGTCCTGAAAGCCAATGCTAGAGCATCACAGTCAATTTTAAGATTATACTTGTAGATAAAAACAGCTTTTTATCGCCAAGTTACTCTCCTGATGGGACTTGAACCTGTAGAAGAATAAAGTCAAGCAACCAGAAGGAAATGGCAGTGAAATATGAAGCCTTTCTGAAACAAGTCAGTATTTATCATTCTGTTGGTATACAGGAAACAGAAGCTGTATTTCCAAATTGCCAAGCCACCAGGACAGCCTCTGTGAGGCAAATGACAGCCTCAGCATTCTGTCCCTCTTGCTCTTCATCTCCTAGCTCTCTCAGCTGATCAATATGAACTCTGTTCCCTGTTGAGGACAAGACTTTCTCTCACTATTTTGCAGGATGCTCAAATACTCAGGCTGAGGCTTGCCTTCATGCTGCTGTTCTGTTATTGAATGGGGATGGCAATGAGATGCTCTTATCGTTCTTACAAAGTCTGTATATTTGACTAATTTTAACTTATCTATGTTCTGAGACTTCATTTCATATGTATTCAGGAAAATAGTAGACTAACATAACAGTGTTATGAATAGAGTCTAACAGACAGCATAACTCAACACAAATAATAATATCAAGACAGAGAACCAACAAATGCAATGTCAAGAGGGAATATTAACAGATAGCTATTGTGAGATGCTGGCTTGAAAAATACCGAGACAGCCCAGAAAAATCCCAATAACATTTGACCTCTCATGCAGCTGCACAGGAAAAAAGTAAACAAGATATTACATTTTTTTCAGATGTGTAAATACAAGTTCTAGGAAGCAAAGTTTGTCACTGTGTAAAAACCTAGTCCAAACTAGACATTTCTCCTGTATTACAAATGACACCTAGTGTCACAGAGCCTTTAACTTTCATAACAGAAAGAAGAAACCATTATTTTGAGAGCTACAAATCAGATGCAACATTATGATCAACACAGCTGACAAGAAACATTAAATACAGCGACAGTGACTATGTTACAGGTGCTTGGACAGGTTTTATCTTCCTGAAAACTGGAGCAAAAGATGAAGTTTGTAATCTATTCCAGACCAGTATATTCCCATAGCAGAAAGGCTTGTGTTTCCTTTCCAGTGAAACGGCTGTGGTGCACCCACCCACCCGTCAGTGGAAGGGAGTCCTTCCTTCATTACTGAAAGTCCCCAGACAACTACTTCAGGGCACTAATTTGAAAAAATAAATAAGAGTTGCTAACAACAAACAGTCTGACAGCTACTGATATCCTCAAGACATCAAAGTATTCCTCAGTAAGCACTTCCCAGAAACAAGAAGATAAGCACATGACACCCACATAACCCTTTCAATTGTTCTTGTGGCTTTAATTTAAAATCAAGTCTCTTCTTGTTACTGATGCAATTAAAACATTAAAAGGTGACTCAAACTCTACAGATCAGAAATCATAGAAACTCCGAAAAATAAGTCACTTGAAACACCCACTTGGTTAACAATTCTCTTTCCACCTCTGTCTAAAATTCAGTAACAGTATTTAACCTTCACCACCACTGGGTTTGTCACATAGACATTATATTCAGTTACTTTCATGCCATATAGCAGGATTTACCTGGATGCACCCAATGAATGGCGGGAAGTAAGACAGGCTCGTACTCAAGAAATTATTGAAGTCATTCAGCAGCTTCTGGATGATGTCTTTTTTCTCAGAAGGAGTTTTAGACTTTTCTACCTCATGCAAAATTCCACCAAACAAACTGCTGAAAAGCTGCTTGGCAAATGTTGGGTCTTTCTGTAAATTACAACAAAAGCAAATAAAGGCCAGTGAATTTTGCTGTGACACATTAAACTAATAAATAAAATTAGGAGATACGACCCACCCTATACCTAATCCCTGTGTGGACACTCTTTGGGAGTGGAATAATTAGTCTGACAATGCATCATGCCTATAACAGGAATTACTGTCCTATCTAGAGCCAAATCCCATCTTAACTCTTCTACATAAAGAAATTCCAAGGCGATGTAGGTTTCAGGCCAGAGCGTTGGTGGAGAGGATGGAATTTACCACTTTCACATATTCACAATTGTCACTACAGGAACCAGACAACCAACAGCATCTTATGGACACCACTGCCAGTGAAGACAATTTCAGGAAAAAAACAGTAGATATCAATGTGTGAGGAGACCTGGACCTAACACTGAGGGAGCCAACAGACAGATTGTCTGCACAGAGAGACAGTCCCATGTAAGATTTAAAGGTGTTTTTTCAACTCAGAAACACATTTGTATGTGTAACATAACCCTATGCATCCTGGTCTACCATGGGACTGGAGTTTGGTCTAACTCTTGATCTAATGCTATTCAGATAACTCATGACTGTGCTACTTCCTCCCTTTTACACAGAGATAAGGGACCATCAAAAGAAGTTAAATACAAAGGTAATCAGGAACACTGACTTCCCAAACACTGTAAAATGGGATAGGCTCAGCCTACAGTTTCTATCGCTCTCGGGTAGGACAAAGATTATTGGATCAGCTTTACTGAGTAGTCTGAGTCCAGCTGTAGACACAATAACTTCATTTGTACTTTCACAGCTCTACTATAGCCATATAAAAGAACAAAAATGGCTGTTTTGTTGCTGTACAATGAGATGTACTTCACAATAATGTCTGTAAAGACCACCACCATCTGTTTCTCAAGCAGAGGAACCCAGAGGCAATAGACAACAGCTGATGTCTCAGGTCCTCAGTGTTCAACTCAACTGCTCAGATGAGGCAAGCTATGGGCATCTTCTCTCATCACTGCACCAGCCCAGGGGTAGAAGAAACACTCCCTGAAAACAGACTCTTTAAATACATGTCACAGTGGTTGACTACAAAACAATACATCAATTTTGAAAGCAGTTGCCCAACCACACATCATTAAAACATCACAAACGACCACTGAAAAGGAGACAGACCTGGGCAAGGCCCTGCAGAGGGGCAATGAGACTGCAGTATTCAATCTGGATGTCGGGAAGGTCTCCTACTCGGTAACTTCTGTACAAAGTAACCTGGGCATCATACTTCATCTTCAGCTCAGATTTCATCTCCTGAAATGCATTGCTCATGTTGAAAAAATAATAAATCATATTACTTAGAAAGAGCTGTATCTAGGCAAGACAAAATAAGCAAGAGCATTTCTGAAGTGTTTTATATTCTTTTGCCATGCTTATTAAACAAATACATTTTTTATGAAGCTGTAATATTATTAAACCCAAAATTGTCTTAGTAAATTGAAAACTCTCAAGTCTTGTTCATAGACTTACTTCAGCCATTAAATTTAATATTAATGCCTTGTATTTCCTGCTTCCATACAGGTATTATTTAAGTCACTTTTAAAGAGAATGTTTATGACTTTACAGCTAGTGAGCTGCTATGGTTTAATAAGTCACTGGCTGGCAGCTGAGCCACCATAGTGCATTATGTGATGATTTTCAGCCTTGTCCAGGTGCAAAGTAAAAGCAGGTTATTAAAGCTGATGTGTTTTATTTCACACAGTGGGATGGGAGGGGAAGGAAGAAAGATGAACCTGGTAGAACTGATTCCTAATAAACCTTAAACCAAACAGTAATAAAGCTGTTGTAAACTGCAATTGTTTAATGGCTGCCCTGCCTTTTGCTGAGGCTTAAAGGAATATCTTTAAATTGGACAAGAGCTACTACTAGATACAGACAAAACCCATCTTTTCTTCTGCCTTGCTTCCTTTTCATAGCACTGATATGCCATAAGGAAATCAGCAGTAAGTTTAAAGGCTGAGATTTTATTTTTAACTACTGCCATTACCAGTTAAACTAGCAGACAATGTGTGGATATATACATTGGTAGAATGGAAGAGAGAAATATAAAGAAAGCTTGAAGATTTTTTTTTCTCTTCCGTAAACCCTTCATAATTTTGCTGTTTGAGCCCGTTTTTCTTCCACACAACTTCAAAGAGATTATTTTTAAAAAATCAGGACTTTGCTAAAGCTACTTCCAAATACTTTCTTCCTCAGGACCTACTTTTTCCTGTTTTGCCTCATCAGGTATGGTATTAACACAAGCCACTGATTTCTCTGTGTGTTTATCTGCAACAAATCTCTTGAAAAGTTTAAGGTGTCCTAACAGCATTCATGGTCTTCTCTGGTCTTTTATTATGGAATATCACAGGGTTTTTTGTTGGTGGTATTTTGGACTGTCATACAGAATGCATTTACAGGTTCTCTCTTGCAGGGTGGGAGGAAATGGTAGCTTTATCCTGCCAGTAAATATAAATTGGCTAAAATAGGTGTTTGAGTGGTTCTTCCAGGCATAAGCTCTGTTTACACAGTTGTCTGCAGCTGCAAAGAATTATAAGAGTTTTTCAAACTGGTAGCTCTAAAACCAGAGTTCCTTTGCTCTTGGTCTAACTGCTATCATTTTTGGACAATAATGTATGTTATTTTTAGTAACATGAACCTCTGAAAAACTGTTACAGAGATTAAAAATACTTAAACTTATTGTAAGTACATAACACAACCAAGAAACCCACATAGTACTAAGTTTCTGGCCTTCATAAACACTCGGCAAATTATTATTACTGACATTCCTTCAGGTTAAAAGTATGCAACAGTTCTGGTTAGTCCACCAGCTGTATCAATCACATTTTTGAGTTCACCTTCAGACACTGGATAATATTCTCCAACTATTTTTGCAGAGTACTGTAGCTTCAAGGCTCCTAGTTTCCAGGATGACAATCGTAAAGAGCTTCTCATAGCTGTTAGGGTCTCCATCACATAAAATCACTTCATACGCACTAAGTGGTAGACTGGAAGTGTTATCGTCCAGCTCTTACGTGCTTTAAGCACATAAATAGCATGACTTCCAAACAAAACCTTCTAAAGCTTTTAACGTAGCAACCAGTATCTTACACCTACGCTTTCTTCACAGTTACTTCTAGAGATAAAGTGCAAGACTGCAAATGGCATTTGGGACTTAAGGTTTTAGACCTATTTGGATTGACAAACCTTTTCTCTTTTCTGTTCAGCCACACCTTTTCTAGCATAAATCAGACTGATCTTCTCTTGGTCCTTCAAGAAACGTCTCCGCAGTCTTAGAATTTCTGCTCGTTCTTCTATACCTAGAGAGCACATGATCATGTCCACAGCCTTTCCTTTCTCAAGCAAACTTCAGATTTAAGGCAAGAGTATCATATAATAATAAACACCATCTTTGTATTTGCTAGCTTACCAGCTAGTCTCCTAAGTTTCATATCCAACAAGTCAATGCAAGGCATTTCAACAAAACAGCAAATTAAAACAAATTAAGTTGTCAAGAGTCAAACTACCTGTACTGGGAAAGCACCAAAATTAACAAACAAATTTGCCCCATACATCAGATTTCTTTTAAGCTCTCCAAGACAAGTATGGCATTTGAACCATATTCCATAAAGTATATAGCTTCCAACATAAAAGAGGTACTAAATATATTCAAAGAATGGGTAGTAGTAATATAATACTGTATTTTACAGAACTGTTGCTGGATCAACTTCTGCTCAGGATAGTCACAGAGAAAGGCCACTTTACAGACTGCTCACTTCAGTCCATTCCCTAGGAAAGAAGAGTGAGCAAAAAAAATCCCATACCACTGTAACTAGTATTTTCCTGGTAGAAGACCAAGGACTGACTGGAAGGTAGGCTGAACTCTCTCTTTCTGTAGTTCAGCATGGTCGATTCAAAACTGCCCTGAAACATCTCTCAAGTATTGAACAGGTCAATCTTTAGAGTTCTCTGCCTGAACTCCTATTCCCAGTCATTCCTCTAGTCAAAATTTTAATGACAAGGTAGGCAAAGGTGAAATGGGGAGAAGGAGCCTAAGCCATTCCAGAAAAGTACTGATATTTTTCAGTTATTGACTGGGTAGATGAAGAAACATTCTCAGAAAATAGTAGTTCTAATGCCAGATTTGAATTTGTTGCAGATCATGTCAACACAGCTGAAATGGTTTGAGAAAAATATGTTTAAAGAGATCTCTTCTTTAATGAGATAAGCAGTTTAAATTTAATTTAATTTAAATTTTAAAATTTAAAACTGAAGGGACAGAGCTGTCTGACATTCATGCTACGAACACCTTAAGGAGAGGTAGGAATGCAAAGATCATACTAGCTGGTTACTTATACAGTCAGTTCTTTCATCTTAGCAACACATAGTTTTGCAATTCCTAGCACAATTCTAGCTTTTTGCCACATGTTATGTACCACCACACATTCCTGGAAACAAGATCTCTCAAGGTCAGCCTCAATTGGAATGTCTCAAAGATAACGGACTGCCAGCCTACTAACTGACAAAGAAAAACGTAATGTTTATACAGAAACTACATCATGAGGCTTACAGACCTTTAGCTTTGCTGTCCACTTCATCTCCAGGCAAACCCAACCTTTTTTTCCCAAAATCTGGTCCCACTGGTTTAAAGGTTGCTTGTTTAAATGTTTCACTCCGTTTGTTAACCAAGAGCATGGATGAAGACAAGGATTCAGAAGATGAAGGAACTGTATACTCTGCCAATGTGTCAATGCTACTTCCAGTTAGCCAATTAAAAGAACTTTTACCACCTGTAAAAAAAAAAAAAAACAAAAATTGAAAAGATCTGTAACACATTCACGTACAAATCAAGTGAAAACATTTAAGAAGCAGACCATTTTCCTCTCCCAAAAACACAATTCCCAGTGTCCTGGGGCAGAACAGATTTCAAGCTGTGCAGTAAGAAACAAACTTCTTTTACATTAGGCAGAACATAAAATACATGAGATTAATAAAAATGTGTCTGGATGTTCTTTCTCATAATTAAATTAAAAAAGACCCTTAAAAACAAAATTTTAAATGTATCTACACTTTTACATTAAAAATTCACCCACAACAGAAAGGAAGATAATAAATAATAAGAAAATAAGAAAATTTCAGAAGAGTTTGGACGCACTGGCATGCTGCGTAGGTGTAAATTCATACTGCCGTTGGGTAGCCCTCACTCGACCACCAAGTGACCCAGAAGCAGAGAGGGATCTTTCTTGTGATAAATTCCTGTGGATATTCTGAGAAGCCTGAGTCTCCACAAACATAGGTGTGAGCACAGTACTTCGATAACGCCAGCTGGAATCAATTACAAAGTCCTAGGAACACAAAAAGATTTTAATAAGAATAATAAGGATCGAGGCTTTTTGCCTTCCTTCCTTGAGAAGCAGAAACTGAAGTACAGAATTTAAAATATAATCCCAGGTACATGGGCAGAACTTGACTAGAAAAATAAACAAACTCCAAACATATAAATGTAACCTACAGCTCAGCAAAAAAGCTCATTAATTAGGACTGGTTAGCTGAGGACTGATTTACAGCTCTTGAATCAGTATTCCTGTTTCTTCACAATTTTTCTCCAGCATATGGTGCTTTTCTCCAGTATCCCCTTTTTGGGGTATTTCAGTACTCTACACATCAGTTATACTTAGATTTAGCAAAAATAATTATATATTCCTTCTGTTTTGAAAACAAAGCAAAATTATTACCCCTGTGAAATCAAACTTCTGATATTGTGCATAAGCCATGACTTGCAGCTGTTAAACTACAGAGTACAAAAAGCACTTTCAAAAATCTCCTTCACTATGACATTCTTGTTCACGTGGTAACTACATTAAGGAATGGACTTTGCCACGTGGTTGCACACAGGATAACACATTACAATTCACCTGAAATTTGCATTCAGACAGCGGATGTTCAAATATTTTTCTGGAATAATCCGGGCTCTTGCTGGTCATTTCAAGCAGAAAGTTTGTGATTAGACTCAAGTACTGTGTTTCAATCTTGGTGGAATATAAAGAATTTAACAGTGACAGCATGCGATCAAGAATATTTGTTGGTAACCTTGTCTCATGACTCCAAAAATTCCTAACAATTAATCTGTAAAGGAAGGGAATAAAATTATTCTTGGTTATCTGCAAACAGAAAACATAACACTATAAAAATCTCAAGTTAAAAAAAAAACAACCAAAAAAACCCTAAAAACCACAATAAGATTATAGTCTTCAACTAACCCTGTCATGCCATAGACCTTCCACTGAATTACACCGAATTCCTCATTCATTGGCCATGCATTTGACTGATACTAAAGTTTTACTCTGAAAAAAGTATTTCTACTGTGTTGTTTTCCTCCTGAGAGGTGCTAGGGGTGGAAAAGCACAGCGATCTCCTATTCTATCTTTTGCTTCGCCAAACAAAATTTAAAATCCAACATTTAATCTATTTTTGTGTGTTTGTGTATAGTGAGGACCTTCTTGTTGTTCAAAAACTCTAGAACATGAATGCAGAATTAAGTCTAACGTACTGAAACAACACCTCCATGGCTTTGAAGTTTGTTCAATAGCTCTGTGTTTCACTTAAATTTGGTGTAACACTATGGGACACAATTTTACAAATTAACTTATCGGAAGAAAAGGAAATAATGTTATCTTACTGTTACCCTTCTATATTAAAATACTTTAAAAACCTGTAAAGATCAACTCTTCTGTCATAAACAATGAGCGAGCAATTTAGGGATTTGTTACTTCAGTGATCATAACACCGCTTACTCACTGCAGTTCAGCATTCTCATCAATTAGTCCTTGAAGCAGCATTTCTTTTGTCAGCTTGAGTATTTCCTTAGAATCATCATCTGCTTGGCTTTCTGGATCACTGATGACAGGAGAAAAGTGTCTCTTAATGACCTCACTCAAACAATCCTTAGTAAAATAAGAGGATGAGTACAGTGGGAGAAAAGGAGGAACACACCCTTGTCATAAAAATATCAACCTTGCATTACAACAACAAGAAGAATAGTGGGAGCATCAGAGCTAAGTCTTTTGTCCCCTAGGGGAAGTGACAAAATTGCTAAAGGCCAGAGATACTTTGGCAAACCACAGGTTCTACTCTTCTGAGAGCTGGAAAAATCCTGCACCAAGAGACACAGAGTTAGAAGAGTGTGTTACAGGCACTTTCACTGTGCCTGTCACAAACCTCTGAAAGATAGCATCTGCAGTCAATACACACCTGTAATTATCGTAAATCCACATCAGAATATCATACATGTGCTGTCGACATACTACAGAAGAGTGAGAAATGAACCCTGTAACTCCAGGGAGAAGCTCTTTAAGTTCTTGTGGTTTTAGTTTAGACAGCATCTTGTACACTATATCCAAACAAACTCTTTGCCTTTCATCATCCCTAAAAAAAGAGGAGGGAGGTGGTGGGGGGAACAACAGTTACATTGCTTTACTCTTGACTGCTACACACAGAAACAAAAGACCAGTTTAGGCTTTAGCAATAATATTTGCTTTTGCATAAAGGGCTTCAGGCAAGTACTTTGGAGTTCAATCTAAGAGTAAGAATATGCTAAATTAATACACACTGCAGAAATTTATATCCCAGTGGTGCTTCACCTTAATGCTATTTAGAGTTTTTTGTTTGTTTTTCACAGTGACCTAACCCATCTTAACACTTACCTCCCAGATTCCATTAGCTCAAATTAGGAGAACAGTGACCAAAAAATGAACATGAATTATAAATACTTCTGAACATGAAAATGTCATGGCCAGCACTGAAAATGTTACCAAGAAATTTAGACTATGCATCCATATTTGTAATCACATGACCACTCACCTGTGATTCATTATCTGAATAAAGTCTTTACTCTTTAACTGCAAGTGGAGATCAGGTATTTCTTCTGCCCGGCACATGATTACTTCCAGACAGTAGGTTTTCATCACACCATGAAGTTTGGGTATCAAAAAGAATACTGCATTCATAAACCTTAGGATAACCAGAAGCACACAAAGAAAAGCAAATTATTTTCTATTATTCCTCTAGATCTACAAAGAACATATCATGTAAATAATGACGTACCTGTCAGCAAGAGGTGGAAAATTCTTAACAACTTTATTCAAGCATTGAATAAACTTATCCTGATGGGTGTTTTGATGATGTTTTAATTGTCTTATGACACAATCATAAACTGGATCTTCAAGTACCTGAAAATGAGAAAGACAGTATGCCAAGCATAGTCATGAAACTCATAACCACCTCAATGACACATGGTTCTGCTGCTTTACTGTTAGATTCTAGTGCTTTTTGTTAGGTAAGATCCACCCACCTCATCTTGACATTTATGGTCCTTCATGGCTGCTGTACAGCTATGCAGGGCTGACACGCACGACTGTCTGCCTAAACAATACATTTGTGAGCTTCCTTTGGTTGGTCTGGAACCAACACCTTCATTTTGAAATACAAGCTGCTTAGTATGCTTAACATAAATAATTACTAGCTTCTCATTTGGTATGGCAGATTTCCATTTAATGAATGTAAAAAAAATAGACTATTTTAGCAAAAAGCTGAAAAATAAGCAGCAACCTTCACTTAATGTTGAAGAAATAAGCTTTGTATAGGATAAACTATTTGCACAACCTTTGCTCATTTATTCAAAATACTGCTTATAATGGAACTTGGAAGACTGTGAAAGAGAAGACTGCAGGAATCCAACTTATGAAATACTCTCTATAAATAACCTGAATACCAGTTCAGTTGGTAAAGAAGTAAAAATAGTAGGGAGAGAAGTAAGAATAACCTGCAAAGTCAGACTAATAATCCACCTAGCCAATATCTTGATATTTTTGTCTCCAAGAGCAGCTGCAGAATAATATTTAGGGGGAGCATGTGAGCCTGGCTACATTTTGTCTTCTTTCATACAAGCCAATCTGCATCCGTCATTAGATTAGGGATCTTAAGAGTGTACCTTGTTGTCTACTGTTTTTAGGACCTGTTTTTTTGTATATGAATTTGCCCAATTTCTCTTTGAATCTGCTGATGCTACTTACCCTTAGAACCTCTTCTGGCAACACATTCCAGAAGTTCACTAACTGTTGTGTAAAGAAGCACTACTAGCATCTGTCTCAAACTGATTTTTGTGATCATCAAGCACGATCCCCTAGTTCTGGTACTGCAGGATTTGGAGAGTAACAGTTTTGCATTCACCTTACCCACTACCTAGAAAATAACTGCATTCAAAATTAAATGCAATACCTTTAAATTTTACATCAAAACTTATTAAACATTCTCAGATACAGATATTCAAAAGGTAGTCCCAAACCTCCCAACTTGCAATTTTTTTTTCTTTAAAAAACCCCAAATAAACATAAAAAAACGCTTCAAGTGTACCATGCCAGCGTTGCTGGCAAAAGCTGAACAATGCTTCTGAAAGAGACCATTCACTGTCAGCTCCAAAACAGCAGGACATAAACTCTGCACTTAGTCTGCTCTCAAATTCTTCTCCTCTAGAGTTAGTATTTTAAACCTTTAACTTGATCTGTTGGACAAAGACTGCTGAGTTTTAAATACATTGATTTCTGGAGCTGAATTGAGTAGTTGTATACAAGATGTATATAGAATTAAGACAGGGATGGTCAAACACACAACGCAGTTCACTTACATTTTCTTTCTCAGCAATGTATCGAAGAGCAAGTCCCAACACCTCTGCTGCAGCTGCATAAATTTCTTTATGCTTTAATAAGCCCATGTTGCTGATCAAAGCCTGAAAATATCTAATACAAAAGGTAGACATGCTGTAAGTCACTACACCAGCATCCAATTTTAAACTGAAACAAAAAACTGACCTGAGCTGCCTAGGGGATCAGTGACTGCTTTCAGAATAGCTGAATACAGCACAACATGGATTTCCACCTGCAGTGTCTTAAGTCCCTGCTTTGGCAATTCCTGACTGTTAATTCCCATGAAACTGCAAACCTCGGGCCCACTGTAAAAAAAGCTTACATCCTTCTAGATATTTTTCAAAATAAATATGGTCTGCAGTTTGCAGCTAGAAAACCATCACATCTGACAGACAACAGCAAAGGGATGATGAGACAAACAATTCCAATATAAGACCAATCCAGCTCCCATATCTCATGCTGACAAGTTAGACTTGCTCTCTTTGTCTTAAGCTTTTATCAAAATCATTCTCCAATAAGCTATATTTCTCACCTGACACGATCTATTTCACACTTTGAGTCAAAGGGAGGTAAGTTGTTAGCAAGAACAATTCCCAGCAGCTGAATTCCCACTGAGTTGTCCTTTGTATCAGGGTCTCCACTAGAAAATTTCTCAAATATTAAACTGTTGGATAAAAACATAAAAGCAATGACATACATGAAAAACCCAAAATATACAAACCATAAATGACCCACTCTCTATGTATGTACAGATATATGAACACATACAACCTCACCAAAACCAGCAGAAAGTATGTATGTTAATTTTGCTTATAAATATGCAAAGGATGGGTGTCAGGAAGATGGGACCAGACTCCTTGGTTGTGCCCAGCAACAGGACAAAGGGCAACTGTCACGAACTAGTACACAGGAGGTTCAACATAAGGAAAAAATTCTTTACTGTGAGGGTAAGAGTGCACTGGAACTGACTGCCCAGAGAGGTTGTGGAGTCTCCTTCTCTGGAGGGGTTCAAAACCCACTTAGACATGTTCCTGTGTGATATTCTCTAGGTGATCCTGCTCTGGCAGATCTAAGTATTTAGCTTCAATGAAGAAGTCTTTAAAAAAAAATCTAAAAAGAGATTGTAAGCACACAAATTCTCTGCAACAAGATCTCAAGCACAGCAGATCACGGAAGTCTTACTAACAGTGCACCAATATTCAGCGATAAATAATACCCAAAATTTCAAATAAAACATAAGTCTTTGCAGAGATTGCTCCTGCTTTTGTTCTAATCCTGTGCATGTCTTCCCTGTCTTTCTCCTTGTGGTTTTGCAAATTAAGTTACAATCTTTGGACTGTTCAGTTCTGAAGTTCTACTGTCAGCCCTAGGCATAAAAAGTTTACTATTGCAGCTGAATTTACCTTTTCCTCTCCTTTTATAATATTCACTTATATTCTTGAAATATTGATAAAGGAAAGCAATTGTCTAAATGCTTACCTGTAAGGTATGGAGAGACAGTTCTTCCAACACTCTATAACTGTCTTTATAATTTCCAGATTGTGTCTGAAAACAGCTCTTTTCTGGTGAAATGCATTCTTCATCAAGAATTCAAGCAACCTGTTAGCTAAAATCTCATCCTTAATACTTCCCTAAAATGAATAAGAGCAAAAATAAACATAGTCACTCCAACACAAAGACATACGTTGTTTTATGAAAGCAAGTAAATAAGCTATTTTTGAAGTTAATATCGAAAAGAAAAAGCACTGATATAGAACTGATGTAGAAAATTATTGTAAGTGCATAATAACAAGCTCACACATTCCTTACCAAAAAGTCACAATAATAATAAAAATGAATTTCACATTTCCTTACTTTGGGAGTGGTTACACTTGTCCAGGAAAGGACAGTAACTACTATTTCCACTACCATGTAATGAATCCCTTCACCTCCATTATTCCCTGAAACAACGAGCTGCAGCAATGGACCGAACCAGTGCTTTGCATAAGGTCGGAAAACCTATGGAAAACAAGAGAATCAGTGAGCAAGTACGAATTATCCAACTATTCAACAACCTGTTGCTCAATAATCATTACAAGTAAGACTGCTAAATCAACCTCTTATCACTTTGCTTAACTTCTGAAGCAACAACCACAAAGATTTTTAAATAACTTTAAAATAGAAAGTATTCTTAACTACAGTCCTCAATTGTGCTTAGAAACCTTTAACCAAGTATTCACATAAAATCAACTTAAGGTCCACATAATACAGCTCTCACGCAGAAAACCTGTTCCTAAAGGATTTGAAAGAGCATGCCATTCATCCACCCTTCCATTTCAGACAGCTTTGCTAAGAAAGTAGCTTTAAGTAGGTGTTGAAGCTTCTTGAATTAATTATGAAATTAAGCCTTTTTTATTTTGGATTTGGAGTATTTCAGACAGAAACATTATACTTTAAAATCACCATATGAAATAGGATGAGAATGTTTAGCCAAGAATGAGAGTTAGAAAACATTTCTTTTCAGGCAAAGACACATTATGCTATCTTAATATCTTTCTGGAACCAGAACATCACTTAGCTCTAAGTGATCACTAATAAACTATTATATTTGGTCCTTGAAAGATGACAAACATAATCAGCCATACTCCTTGCCAGTATCAATGAATCAATTACTTACAGTTTACAGAAGACACATATTGTAGACACCTGTACTACCAGAAGCAGGGTTTGGGAGAAAACGTATTTATATTATATTCAGAATACTTGCACTACCTGGAATTTTGGGCTATGAATGCACTCTTCTTTACCACAGCAAACTACTCAATTTGAATGCCCCAAAAGTCACAACTGATAAAATATTTTACCCTACAAGAGTTACACAGTTGATACAATAATACAACCTATTAACAGAAAAAATATGACCAAAAATTACTCACATCCTCAGTATTAACAATAAGTTTTGCTATGAAGAGGCGAATATTTAGCGGTACTGATGGGTTTCCTAATTTGCCATGCAGAAATTTCATCCAAAGAGGAAGATCTACGGCAACTGTCCCCTGAAATTAAGAGAGATGAGCAAAAACCAACTCACTTCTTGGACTAAACAGGCCTAACTAAGCCAAAAAGCCCCCCAGTTTAAGCCACACAGGTCTCATTACAATATAGCCATGAAAATTATATAATAAATGAAAGGATTCAATCGTGACTCCTTTCTCTTAGTATAATTAGTGAAAAAATGCCAACTTTTTGCTTAATACTGGCCTCCTCCACTTTAGGTGTGATCTGGTTCCTCTGCATATGTTTAATCAAAGTGGTCATAGAAGCCATACATTCATGTTGATTGAGTTCATCCATTTCCAGTTCCAACTCATCATTTAAAACCATGTATTCTGTGGGCTCCTGAAAAAAAACCCAAACAAACAAAAACCAAAACAGTATTACTGTGATTAACAATAACACTGTATTTTCTTTTAAATCATGATAATGGCATGAGTCATTCTGATCTTATCTGTGTTTACGCATTTGACTATACGCTCAGTGTACACAACAGGGAATACACCAAATGTGTTGTTCAAACAGACACCTCCCAAACGTGTGTAATAGCTGCGCACGTCTTTTACTTTCTGTGCCAACAGATGTCAACTTCATATTATGCTGACTTTACTACCTGCCAGGATAGGTGTGGCAACTGCTGGAAGCAGGAAGAGTTAGCTGAACCTTACAGAAATTATTTCATATCACAGCTGAAAGACTGTGTTAACACCTTCCACAGCAGGAAAACCCTATTTTTATGGATATGTTGTTTCATATTGACTAGCCACCGCAGCAGCTCTTTCTTTTGCTACATGGAGTAAATCACAAAGAAAACTGTTTATCGTTAGAAATTACATTACTATACAAAGCAGATAGAAAGTACACTTCTGGTTAACTTCACTGCAGCTCAAACACCTCCTTGCTCCAAAACACAGAAATAGTTTATCTTTGTTAATGTTAACAGTTATTTTGACAGATTTAATCTTCCGTGTCTATGATACTTTTACAAGCTTTCTTTCTGTTTTAGAACAAATATCTATCCTATCAGTATTACTGTTGATGAGATATCTCTTGACTGCAGAAGGAACACAACTTCAAGTCTTGGAAGATATTAAACGCTGTTCTTTCAAGAGCAACAGTTAAATATGAGATGCCACAACAGAGATAAAAAAATAATAAAGTGTTTGATCATTTATTCCATACATTTGATATAACCAGTTTGGTCAAGTGCCTTCAAAGACCAAAAGAAGAGGGAAATGAGGAAACGATGTGCCTAACAGCAAAACTCAACCATCACAGGATACTCCTGAGTGCACACAAAAGTCCCAAGACACCTTTTTTGGAACTCAGGCTGGACTTCACTCACATTACTCAACTTCAGAAACCCAAGGCAGGGCATTGCTTTTCTCCAGCTGTGGACAGTGGACAGGGGGAAGAAAAAAAAAAAAATGACTTACAGAACAGAGCTCAAGCCCCCCTCCCTCATCTTCTGGAGGAACCCATTCTCAGTTAAGTAGAACAAATACAGGAGACAAGAAATTTCTCTTTCTCAACCCCAATAAACATATGCAATTGCTAGAAAGCATAAAACTTTCTTCCTCACAGCACGTAAGTCACCAAATTACCTTCCTCCTGAAACGAGCACTGCCAGCTGTAACATCTTGGGAGCTATAAGAAAAGCTTTGGACTCCAGTAGAAAAATCAAACTGACTCATTTCCTCACTCAAACTGCTATCCATCATGTATGACGCAGAAGCTAAATACTTGGGTTCATCTAAATAGGAAAAAGAATAGACCATTAATCAAGGTAATTACAAGAAACAAGCCTTTATTGGCCACTAAAACGTGAGGGTGGGTAGGAATTGGTTGTTAGATTAAGTACACTGAATAAGCGCTTTTATTTGCTCCTGCTACTGAAAAAGTCCATTAGCAACACATCAATGAATACTGCATGAAAAGTAAGAAGGCAATTTTTTTCCATAGTCATAAAATGACTTTCATACCCTGATTGTTATTCGCTGCATCTCTGGCCTCCTTTCTAATAGCAATGTATCGCTTCTTCCTTTCCAGTGGCACCTAAACAGCAACATATGAAGTTTGAAAATTATTGGCATTTTTTACATTTACAGTTTAGTTACAATTATTCATTTACAGAACTGCCAAAAAATATGAAAACCATTTAACATGAGTGGAAATCCCATGTTGTAAATTACTATAATTAATGCTACAGAAAAACAGCCTAATTACTGAGTCCTACATCCGTTCATTAGCAGAGTAAGTGTGCTAAAAAGTATATCTATAAAAAGTTAGGTGCCCTGCGGGTGTGTTATGAATTTCAACTCTGGATTCCTCTCAGAAAACGGTATTTTAAAACATAAGGGGAGCATTCAATTTTTTAATTAACTACAGAATCCTCTTTCTCTGTGAGAACTGACCTTGTCTACAGTGACTACACTGTTAAAAATCATACTCATTTTTCACCTAGAAACACTAAACCCCAGGAATTCCACTCACCTCAATTTCTACAGGAAATGTATACTGACGCTTCAGGTCTATCAGATTTTCAAAAATCAGCAGGTTCTGCAAACCGAAGCACGTTTGGAAATACCAAAATTATAATGCTGCACACAATAACAACTGCTCTGAATGCATTTTATTTCTTCTTAAAAAACAACAGATCAATGTAAAAAATAGAATATAGTGTGTTTTCCTCTCTAGATTAATACTTTAAAGAAAATTTTGTTATTCAACTACTCAAGAACTCACAGTACAGACAATGTTCTTTGTAAAGAGGGTATATCTCTTAATCAAGTATATTCCAAGCACTGCAGAACTTAAACAACAGGGGTTTTTCCTCATATTTTAGAAGACTGATCAAGAGTAGAGGCAAAACAGGGTAAAAGTATCACTACTTCACCCATTCTCAAACAGACGGTAAAAACTTTACCACCAACTCAAATTGCACGAAGGATGCAAGAAAGTCAGCTATGACTCCTTCTATTGCCTCACTGGGTGGTTTGTTAATATAATTGCATGTCATTCAGGTTTGAATCTTTGATTTATTGCAATCAAGTAAAGTCACTTTGTGACTCATGCCTCGGAAGCCTTTTAACAGCAACAACAGCTTCTCACCTTTTCTGATTTTTCTGTAAAAAGAAAACCTTGATAAAATTTACTTTCAGTGAAGACACAACTGATAACAGCAATGGCACAGTTATATGCTGCACAGTGATACAGCCTCCTCTTCTCCAACAGCTGACTCTCTCCTGCCATGTTTTCTGTAAATGCATCGTAGCATGACCTTAAAATAAAAACATGCAAGAAAAGACCATCAGAAGTAGCTTTTTTGAGGAGCACATGAAAGGCCCCAGTCAGAGAGCGCTGAAATGGAACTACTCAGCAGTGACAAAACCAACTTCCCGAGGTATTTACACACAAGTCCCTAATGTCAGGAGCAAATCGACAGGCCATTTTCAGGTAAGACGGAGCGATGCTTCAACCCATGCATAAATCTCTCTCATGGTCCTTTCCCAAGGCACTATGAATGGACAGGCATGCTAAGCTATGCTATAGATTAGCCAGAGAAAACCAGTTTAAATGCAATTTTTATTGGTCTTTTGCCCATAGCCACTTATAGATCTTCTGCAAATCATAGCCAATAAATTCTTAAAGTCCTCTTAGGACATAGCAGTGTAAAATAAAATTAAATCAAACCAAAATTCAGACATCTTATATTTTTTTCAGACTATTAAACAAACTAATATTAATTAGCATATTTATTCAGTATTAATCTTTTGTTTCCCTCTGCAGTGGTAATTAAACCAAATTACACCTACTGGGTGTGCTGCTGTATTATGAAATGTAAAATGAAAATCCATCCCACCTTCTCATCAATCATATAAATAGCAATCTTACAACACAGAACCATACTCTACATAAATGAGTGAGTATACTGAAACCAAAATTGTGAAAACACATATTAAAGGCCAAGAATCATACTGAAAAGCAAAAATAAAAGCACAAGCTTAACAAATAGGAAAAAAATGTCAAAAAAACCAGGAAGCAAAAGTTGTCCTGACATAGGACTGTAGTCTACATTAGAGATCATTCTAACAATGCAAATGCAATATTGTATATTCCATTTAAAATCAAAAGCTACATCACAGATTACATTTACTCTTTAGCAAAAATCAATCTCCTGCTTTATATGGCATACTTAAAAAAATAAATATAAAAATGTATCTGCCCAAAAATCTAATTAGAAATTAAAAGGAAATAAAAGAAATAACAGTCTTACTTTATTAGTGTCTTGGTAAGTTCATTTCCTTCTACGCTCATGGAGCCACGGTAAGTTTGGTTAATTCTAGAGTCCTTGGAATAAACATCCTCTTTTGAAAGACGTATGTACATCACTTCTAGCAGCTTGTAATACCCCATTTTCTTGGTGACTTGTGTATCAAAAGTATATCCGTTGAACTGGAAACAAATAAGTAAAACCTCAGAACAAGATTTTCTGGATCCTGTCCTTCCTAAGTAGCTCCACAGTTACTCCAGTTTCTACTAAACAGCCTTCAACTTACTTCTGCCTTACAAAACACAGAAAAGAGCTGCTGATAATAAAAGACTAACAGATTCTGAGTTCCCGTGTAATACAGTAACTAAAACTATTTTGACCTGCTCTTTATCAGGTGAGTTGTCTTAATTACAATTGGCCTAAATCATTATAGTGATGTTGGAGTAAAATAAGGAGAATACCAAGTAACAGCTCAGACTGATGACACCTGTAAGCAAATCATACATATCGTACACAATCGAATCATAAAATTATTTAAGTTGGAAAAGACCTTCAAGATCATCAAGTCCAACCATTAACCTAACACTGCCAAGTCCACCACTAAACCATGTCCCTAAGCACCATGTCTCATGTCTTCTAAATACCTCCAGGGATGGTGAATCAATGACAATGACAATGTTGCTCTTGACAATCCTTTTGGTGAAGAACTTTTTCCTAATATCCAATCTAAATCTTCCCTAGTGCAACTGGAGGCCATTTCCTCTTGTCCTACTGCTTGTTACCGGGGAAAAGAGACCAATGCCCACCTCGCTACAACCTCTTTTCACATAGTTGTAGAGAGTGATAAGGTCAGCCTCCTTTCTCTAAGCTAAACAACCCCAGTTCCCTTAGATGCTCCTCATAAGACCTGTTCTCCAGATGCCTCACCAGTTTCACTGCTCTTCTTTGGACACGCTCCTCAATGTCCTTCTTGTAGTGAGGGGCCCAGAACTGAACACAGTATTCAAGGTGCGGCCTCACCAGTGCCGAGTACAGGGGCATTATCACCTCCCTACTCCTGCTGGCCACACTGTTTTCAATGCAGGCCAGGTTGCTGTTGGTCTTCTTGGCCACTTGGGCACACTACTGGCTCATGTTCAGCCAGCTGTCAACCAGTATCGTCAGGTCCCACTCTGCCAAGCAGCTTTCCAGCCAGTCTTCCTCAAGCCTGTAGCATTGCAGGGGGTTGTTGTGACTCAATTGCAGAACCCAGCACCTGGCCTTAGTGAACCTCATACAGTTGGCCTTGGCCTGTCCAGATCCCTCTGTAGAGCCATCCTACTCTCGAGCAGGGATCAATACTCCCACTCAACATGGCATGACACTACATAAGTCTTGGTTTTAACATTTTGTTTCAGTAACTATTACTAAATTTGGATCATTTCAGCACCTTGTTTGCCCTGCTAACTTTGAACAGATGCATCAGCAAAACCATGAGAATGAAGAACTATGGCAAGAGTAGAGACCTTCACTGACAACAAAATCATTGCCTGTAACTATACTCCAGTTGAAGGATAGGCTGTAAATGTAGAAAGGATGATCTGTGCTCCTAATCTCTTGCTGAAGGATCTTTGCAATGATTAGAAGATATGTTTCTTTCTCTAGAAGTAAGGCGCTTAATTTAAGAGCTTTCTTTATGGAGATTGAATACCTCTCTTACAACATAGTTACAGATTGCAATTTTATACAGCTTTTAGGTTTCAAAGTTAGAACAGGCTTTTGATTTTGACAGAATTTCAGACTCCTCTAGATATATGTAGGTAACATTCCAACTTCAATTTTTATACACAATAGATATGCAAACATACATTAACTTCAAAGCAACAGTGTGATAGGGAATGAAGAAAAGTTTCTCACTAATAACCAAACTATGTACTTGGCACAAACTTCTGCTCCAAGATACAGAAAACTGGAAACCAAATGGTTTCAATTAGTGTCTCACTTCAAGCTAAGCAAACCGTACAGACCAACACCAGCATTTTATTAAGGCCTTCCCCAATCCTAAAAATAAGTAATTCATACCTTTGTAAACCTGGAATTAAGTGCATCCATAGCCTGCACTATAATCTTGGCGCAGAATTCTCTCAGTGCATCCAAGCTGCAGTGCCATAGGAGAGTGAGGAGGGAGCGATCCATAAATGCTTGACGGGTAGCATTTGAAAGAAGGTCCTCACTCTGGAACATTTTGTGAACAGTGTCCAACAGCATCACTTGTTTGTCAGTGGTACTCCTATACAAGATGGAAATCTCAAGATGAAAACTCTTTTACTAGACTCCATTTATATTTCAAAACCCCTGGCATTTACATTGGCAGTGCCATTTAGAAGTTGGAGCCACTCATTCACAATTCAGAACTATTTTGGAAACGTGAAAACAGAAGTAAAATATGAATTAAAATTATGTAAAACTTTATGGTATAAATCATTGCTATTGCAAGGACACAATAATAGAGGAAGAACAAACTCAGTGAGAATGAGAGCAAAATCCAATACACCAAACTCACCTTCTGGAAATTCTTTTGAAGCTGGCTTGAAATAAGTCCTCCATGAAATGTCTTTGGTCCCTGCAGAGGACTTCTGTCATCAACTGCAACAGCATTGGACTCTGAGACAATTCTAATGCATCTAAAAACTGAAAAAGAAGTAATGCACAACATAAGGAACCACACTGAATCAAATAAATTTCATCTAATTATGTAATCATTTTTCAATACTGATCAGAAGCAGATGCACAGAAGGATGTTTATTTAATGTGTATCTACATTAAACTTCTGGATAAAAACATAACTCCAACAGAAAAGCTGACTTCCTTATCTGAACACCAAGAGACTCTTTAATTCCAGATCCTGTGAAACATTGCTTCTAAACATAGTTAACTTAGGCTTCGAATTACACATTTGTTAAAAACACTGACCTTCTTAGTGCAATCTACATAGTTATTGTGCTTCAAGGTTCCTTTGGGAAACTCATCGGACCTCATGGGAAAATTGAAAGCAACAAGTTTATCAAGTGCATTCTTAAGGTCATCAAGTTTTTCTCCAGTCAAATTAGTGAAGAACGGAAGAATTATCACTGCTTGGCCCTGAAGAAAAGAAATGCAGTTTCAAACTAAAACAAATTTATAAATTAATAAAATTAATAAAATGAATTATCCTTTACCTATGAAGCAAGCTGAACAGAACCATATAATAATCAGCATTGGCTATGCTTACTGATTCAATGGCTCAGCATGCTGATAAAGACACATTTAGTAACTGCTCCTCTTAAAGGTGCTAGTTCAGAAAACAGTTTTGGTCACTGCTGAGTGGGAGATAAAAGCTAGCTAACATCTCATGGCTAACATGGCTATCAATAAGAACTTATTTTTCTTTTAAGCAAGCATCCCTTATCACACACGTCACTGACTTAACGCACTACCTGGCAGCTAAAGCAAGATCCCAAGCTTTATTTATTATGAACGCACAGGAAAGTACAAATCTCTGTCTAGCTACAGGTAGACTGACTGAACAGCAACCATGCAAGGCTGCTTCGTAAGTACTAAATTTTTAGTCTTCTGATCCACTTCTACAGCTTCCACTTTCAGTATGGAGTACTTTGTCTCCCTCTCCTGACCGAGCCACATATAGCAGTTCATCCATTAGCACTGGTCCCATGGTTGCAGACATGGACACTAAAACCATTGCAGATGTTTGTAATTTGACACATAGGAAATGTCAGTCCTTGCTAAAAGTCTGATTAGCTGTCATTTCTCAAATGAACACTTTGGAGTTCTAAACTACTTGCAACCGATAGTAAGTTTCTTCCTAAAAAGTATATACCTTTCAGCAAGGCAAGAAGGAGCACCAAAACCAAAACGTATCTGTGATACTGCCTTCTGTCTGAAGAACAAAAAGGATTATTTACAAATTTTAGGATGTTGAACAGAATAAAAACCAGAAATTATGTCCATGTTACTGTCCAAACTAAGGTAAAATTTAAGCCAAATAACAGGTAACTTAATGAACGACTAACATTCTAATCTGGGGAAGATGGGGAAGCCACTGAAGCGAGGAATTTACCTTAAGATTTAAGCTTAAATTCTGATCAGTAAGCAGACTGGTATAGGTATTAAAAACATCTGTAAATGCTTCATGATTGGTATTGAAAGAAACTGAAGAGTCTATCTGCAACAACAGAAGAAATAAAAAAAATTTGGATTTTTTTTAAACTGGTCAAAGAAATCATTGTATTAATGAACAACAAAAAACCCCGAGCTATAGAATTGTTAATTTCCAAAAACACACTGAATTAACAGGAAACACATACAGAGTGATTTTTGGTTTTAAAATGACCATCAAAAATAATTAGAAAAGCTCATATACAGTACAAACAATCATAATGTTGAATATTTTCCAGCTAAAAAAAATATTATGCTCCCTCTCAAAGCCAGATTTCTTATTGTTCACTTCACTACCACCTAATACAGCAATACAACACAGCTCACATTGTGTCCTAAGACACACCTTTAAAACAATTCAAATTTAAAACAATTCAAATTTAAAATAATTAATTAGATTTTTAAAAAAATCTCAGTAAGTAATCCCTGTATTTGTGTACAGCTACTTTTACAAGTTCCTTAAAAACCCTGATAGGATAAGTAGATAAAATACGTTAAAAAAAAAAAAGACCCAAATACCAATGTAACAGAAATTAAAAGTCTTTGAAATAAAGATCTTCCTGCAGTCTGTTGGTATTTGTAGAAGTCCTCCACCGTGACTTTCTGAATGCCAGAATGACAAAGAATGTTATCAGAGGCTGCTCTCAGTTTCAAAGTTTATTCCCTGTACTTGTACCAATTCTCCATAAGGAAAAAAGGACTCTAAAACATGAGAGCAGTTAAAAAAAAGAAAGAGCGGGGAGAAGGAGAGAAGAGCAAAATCTAGTATAATTTCTGTTTATCCAAATATTTTTTGTATTTTGCAAACAGAAGGATACCAGATTCTGATGTTCTCCAACTTATTTTTCCCCATAAACCTAAAATGTCAAAATGAAACAGCATTTCTTTAAAACAAGATACAACTCCTGCAGAATTAGAAACGTTGCCTGGATTTTATAAAGTAACACAAACCTGGAGAACTTTTGCCAGCAGGGTCAACACTGCCATTTTGCTCTCAGGAGCTGCACCTTTGGCCCACCAGCTGTCAAGTTTCTTCCAGTTCCTCAGTACAGCCATGACCAGTTTCACTCCTTGCTGCTTACGTACGGTGCGCTCCCTAAAACTCTGATCCAACATGCCGTTCAAAATGCTGCCAACCTGGAGGTAAAAGCCACAGGTAGATTCTTGCATCCCAGACAAAACGATGAGAGGACCTCTTCACTGGTATGGGCAATCATGAAAAAGGTACCACAGACTCAGAAGAAATGAACACTTGACTAAAAGGTGGTAGTTAAAAGGAAGCAAACCCCTTCAACTTAGGCTCTGTCTGTCTGACTTACTATCTGTCCCAAAAGCACCTAAACTAGAAGCACCTTTCTCTTCTTTGACTCTGTCGAAAAGCTAAGATTAGGATCTAAAATCAAAAGATCTTAATTCTATCTCACATCCTTAAATATAACTGTATTTAATGAAAAGCAAATGCCTAACTTTGGAAATCCTACCCTGACATACCAGCAAACTGAAGTTTAACTTATTGCATCGCACAGCAATGCTAGATTTAAATCTCAAAAGGATACAGAAGACTCTCTGCAGAAAATTAAAAGCACACACTTTTCAAAAACCGGACTTCTATCCTATTTACTCCTGTTTCAATCAGAGTACAACAGAGCAATTCCTTCCCACACTGTGTGTGTGAATATGGAGGAATAAATTATAACCCAGAATGACTTTAAAGATCGATACTTGAAAGTTTCAGTTAGTGTGAAGCTCAGAAATAGGAGAAATAGCATATATGCTAACTTACTTGCATACATTTTGAAAATAAGCATAGACCATGGAATATCAGATATATACTAAGTATGCTTCATTATCTTTTTTTCATAGTTTAAGAAAAACCTGACTAAAACTAATGGGCACTGACTTCCAAACCTGAATTCTGCTTTCTCCTCTTGAATAGCTGGCAACCACCTAATAAATTGGGTTAATGTTATAAACTTTGTGATTTCATCAGATTTGGATGGGTACAGTAAGTAAAATAGATCTTATTTTTTCTTCTCATACATCACAAATGCATTAAACTAAAGAGCAGCTATCTTTTCAAATGTAGTCCATCGTATAATTTTTAAGGCAAGCAAAGCAGAACAGCAGACAACAGAAAAATGTTTGTTTGACTCAATTTGGCTATTTACCTTAATTAAATTAATGAAGTGAAGACTTTTAACACTATTGCCACATGTAGCCAGTGTAAATTAGTAGCCTGTAATTTACTAGAGAGAATTTAAAAATTAAATCTATTGTGGCATGATTTGCACAGGAACCACTACAGTAATCACAAGCACAAGCCTTTAAAAATACCTATGTATCTCTCTACAATCAAATTACACAATTTTTTATATCATTAAAAAATTACGCTCCTGGCATTTTAAAATATTACTTGGAAGCAACACCTTTAAATGCAACATCCTGGATAAAAGAGAATCTAATTGGTTCTAAAAGGACCATCTACTTTCCTGAGAATCCTTTTGGGCAAAAGGGAAAGTGGACTTCTAATCTTTCTTTTTGACCCTTCTGTTTGTCAGAAGCACTAAAATAAGGCCTCTCAATCCTAACATACTTCCTTTGTAGATCTGAAGGTGAGCTCTACATCACTAAACTACAGAAAATCTATTGAGCAAAACAAGTGATGCTGAGACTGAGTACATGACATCTACCTTGTATTTGCTTCAGGTCACAGGGAGTTGTGTTTGCGTATGTGTTTGTCTCTCCTTTTTGATCTAGCCCCACCCCAGTTCTGTGGACTAAAAGCCCACTAGTGGTTGGAGTTCATTTTCCAGTTTAGTTTTATCCAAAACAAATCCAGTCTGCATGCTCTGGGACCACTCTACATTTAAAATCTAAGCACAGTAAATGGGAACAATCAGACTTGCTCTGAAGGGACATTCTTGATCTGAAACACTATGCAAAAACTCCTGAAATTCAGAGATTTCAGGATAGGTAATAGGTAAGCACTTCCCACTCAGTTTGACGTGAGAGAACAGACAGCCTAAGTTACACCAGGTTGCCAGCAATCATGAAGGTAGCACTAGTAGGCCATGACAAAAAAAAATAACCAAGAACCCAAAAACCCATATAAATGCAATGCTGTCTAAAGTGCAACTAAATGCACTTTTTTCCCTGCTATGCACTCAATTACATCCACATATAACACAAAAAAATGTTACTTCTAACATTCCCATTTGAATTTGTCCTTTTAAAGAAGAAGTCTGATACCATTTGGGGATTGCTGCCAGACGATTCCATAAGCTGGACTATGATCACATCCAGGTTTTTCAGCAGCTGTTGATTGATGGTTTCTGAGAACAGGCTGTAGAAATACTGTCCATGAGAGAAATTGATCAGGTTCTTCTGGGATGCTCCTGATAATGGCACAGGTAACACCACTGTGTTCAACAGCAGACTTACTAGCTCCTCACACTGTGAAAATTAAGGTAGAGAGACAGAGTTATCTCAAGCAGTTTAAGTTCCACTCATTTAACAGAATCACAGAACGTTAGGGATTGGAAGGGACCTCAAAAGATCATCTAGTCCAATCCCCCTGCCGGAGCAGGAACACCTAGATGACGTTACACAGGAAGGCATCCAGGCGGGTTTTGAATGTCTCCAGAGAAGAAGACTCCACAACCTCTCTGGGCAGCCTGTTCCAGTGCTGTCAGCCTCACTGAGAAGAAGTTTCTTCTCAAATTTAAGTGGAACCTCCTGCGTTCCAGTTTGTGTCCTTTACACCTTGTCTTATCATTGTTTGTCACCGAGAAGAGCCTGGCTCCATCCTCGTGACACTCACCCTTTATATATTTATAAACATGAATGACGTCTCCCCTCAGTCTCCTCTTCTGCAAACTAAAGAGACCCAGCTCCCTCAGCCTTTCCGCATAAGGGAGATGCTCCACTCCCTTAATCATCTTTGTAGCCCTACGTTGGACTCTCTCCGGCAGTCCCCTGTCCTTCCTGAGCTGAGGGGCCCAGAACTGGACACAATATTCCAGATGCGAATATTTTTTCTTACAAAAGCACATGAGTTTTTTTGAGCTTCCATCCCAAACTGTTCTATGTCATCAGAAAGCACAAAAATAATGCACAAACAGAATACAGAAATATTTGTTACCTACAACTGTCACTGAATTAAGCCAACGAATCCTTACAGTTCCTCTGCAAGATTATGAATAAAACATTAACTCCCTCTACCCAAAATATCGGTAGAAGACTATTGATCATGAGCATTAAACAATGAGTCAGTATTAAAACCAGAGAACCATATCCTACCTGGTCATTGACAGCAAAGGCTAGCTGCAGGACTCTATCAGCTAACCGCTTACTGCTGATGTCTAATGATGGAAGAGATACCCTTTCACCCCCAGGTGCAATACCTTTATAAACAACTGAAAGAAGCTTAGAGCCAACTTGGAAATGAGGTCCTTCATCCTACAGAAATAAACAAACAAGTGAGAATTAATATAAGCCAAAAAAATAACTAAGGTTTTCCAGTCCATCTGTATAGCTAATGAAAACACTTGAACTCCAGGTCGTTTTCTTATAAAGCGATGCAAATATGCCACGACAAGACACCTTATTAACTGAGGTACAAAATTTCTGAACAGACAATCCCGTTGCATACAAAGTTCAGAACAAACTAATAGTAATTTGAAAGTCTTCAAAAGATTCTGATTCTCCTCCAGATTTTTTTCAGATAACAATACAACTACAGAAATAAAACGAACAGCTTAGAATGGGCAGGAAACGAAACATAGACCACGCAGCTCCTTGAGTATCACCATCCTACAATCAGAGCTCTAGCTTTTGTTTAGATGTAGAGGTTATATGACAAACATCCCACCAATATTAACTATTCTGTTACTTGCCAAATATAGCCTTACTCAACAGTAGACAAATTCTCACAGTCCTTGTGCCTGTTGCATAGCCTGTTTTCCTTCAATTGTCCAAAGTAAAACAGGATGACTATAATCAGAAACTTAGTAGAAAGAATTCCTTTGAGTAATAAATCCTAGACCTCCACCCCGCAACCGCTCTCCATAATGTTTTCCTGCAACTCAGACCCACTATATCGCTTCGGATCAGCCAGAATGTATTCTTTTTCTAATTTCCCCTGTCACTTTGAATGTTCTCTGTTTAGAAACGGTTGAAAAATTCATCCTCTCTGAGATAGTAATTCCTGATTTTTTTGAGATTTCAGTCTTGTGAAGCTCACTAAAAGGACGTTTTAGGTAGATTCTAGTTGCCTCTGGGCCCTGGAAATTGGAGAAAGATAGACATAATTATGAAGATTGTTCAAACCTCACTATTGTGCTACTCACATTTGTAGAATAAACATAAAACACGTCTTTCTGACCCTATTCAACACCAGCTCTTCACTGTTCATCTCATTTTACACAACTTCTTTATTTGATCTGTTCTGTTTTCATATTGGACTTCTACACAGGAAAAGCTCTTCACTATATAAAAATATTCACCATTATTTTTTGGTTAAACCATTACCTGATGGTGAAGAACAGAATGAAGCAGGCCAGATTTCTGGAGTTGCTTGCAGGCTGAAAGGATAGCACTAAGCCTAACTTGATCAAAACGTGCATCTGAATTAAACAGATCAACAGAACAAAGGTCCTCCAGGCTAATGAGAAAAGAGAAACAGTATCATTACATTGGTGGGGAGCTCCATGTGCAACTGTACACATTATTTACTTTCCGTTCTTCATGCATTCATGCTTATCAGAAAGCCCCTACTTACCTCTGCAGTGTGATTCTTTTTCTCATGTGTAGTTTCAAAGATTCCTTATAGGGAGATCTCATCAAAGCTTTCATGAGTCTTACTGAGATATCTGGGAGATTTTTCATGACTTGCACATCAGCAGTGTTAAAGCCTATGTGTGATGGATCACATACTGTCATCACCAGAAGCTCTATAAGGCTTGCATTAAGCAATTCCTTCTCAAGAAGCTAGAAAGTATAAAACAGTAAACAAAAGCTTTATTTAAAAATCCATTTAGATTTCCTTAATTAATTCTTCATAACTTATCATTAGTCCTTTTATGTAAAAATAAGCAAAACACGAAACAGTTACTATTCTCATTAAGTTACATCCTCTTTCTCTATGAAATGTCTGACTTTCAATCAATTGCAGTAATACATAGAAATTAACTATCTATAAAAATATACACGGGATACGTCTCATCAAACTGCACATAGGATCTTCTAAGTCCACATAGGCCTGCTTCAGTCTTGATTATACACCTGTAACCGCCTTCAAATCCAGATGTACACCTTTGTGCACACTATTAGAGATTAACTTAAAACAACAGACAATCACAGTCTCAGAACTAAACCTGTCAATGTAAATTCCATAAGAGATTCATAAGTACTATACTTTACGCAGTTAAATACAGTTTATATTGCACCAAAGTTAGGCAAATGGAGAGACCTGAGTATTTATACTGAATTCAAGAAAGAATTGCCAGAATCTGCCTTTTAAGCAGCTATCACATCCACGTATTTAAGGCCACCAGCAGTTGCACAACAAATATTCACTGCAAGTACTCCACACAGAATGACAATCTCATAGTCAATATACAGCTAGAATATACAGGAAATATTAATTCTTCTAATCAAAACTTCATCAACCACTGAAACTCAACTATGCAATATAATTCTTTTCACTGACATATGTGAAGACTGTAACAGTTCATGATGCTTAGTCATCAATTTCAATTAAAGCACCACTAAAGATTATGTTCTTCAGCAAACTAACCTCACAATTAAAACACAAATCTTCAACTACACATAAAATTTGCACCTTTTATCCACTACGGATTTCAGTGCCTACCTTCCAGAAATCCTGCTGACACGTTTCCAGGATCATGGTGACAAACTCCATGATTCGGACTATAATTGTACACTTGCTGTAATTATACACATCTCTCTCCTGCGGACTGAACATGCTCCCTTTTGAACTGCAATCAAAGCATTGCTCCACTGCATGGATATCATGCAAAGCAATAGTTTCAAGGAAGAACTGCAAAGCTTTCAAGAATGAGGATCCTTCATTTACACCTAAGAAGAATAAAGTGAAGTTGAAATGATACAGCAGTTCTCAATTTTTAAATACATTATTTTGTGTTGGAAGAAAACAGTCAAAATGAGATAACAAACAGAAAGTCACTACATCTTCATGCCAGTCCTATACCAGTTTGCAATATTAACATTCTGGGCAGTGAAGGGTAGCTTTCTATTTACTGAGCATTACAAGCACTTATTAATTGTGATGATTTATGCATGTGTAATAAAAAAGACAAAAACTTTAAATTCCTACTTTTGAGTAACTTAGCTCTATGCTGACTGCATCCAACAATGATCTTACAGGATTGTTTTAAACCAAGACAGAGATGACACTGAAGTAACTATGCAACTGTACTATCAGTGATAAAAAGCATTTTGTTCAGACCTACATGAATAATTAAAACTTTTTAGGAGACTCAATGCTACACGAGGTATTACTATGCACCTGATCAAAATTAAAATACAAGGCTTTTGGAACTGATACGGTTGAAGTATCAGGAACTAAAGGAAAGTAACATATACAGGGCTTGAAGTGAAAAGGGGACTTTTGTCATTGCTTTCTGATAGCACCTTCCAGAAATTAATAAAAAACAGGTAAGCAGCTTTGGAAGGAATTTAAAGAAAAAGCAAAACCCAAACCAATGTATCTCTTAGTAAAATAAGTTAACGGTGGCTGGATGACAGAGACAGAAAATTAAAGATCTGTTTCTAAGACTAAAAGGAAACATTTTAAGATATGCTATTAACAAAGTACTTAATCAAAAAACACCCATTACAACAACTGTCATTGAAACCTGTGCTTGTAAAATTTGTCAACTCTACATTTAAGAAAAAAGTTTAAAGTCCAAGTTAGAAACTTATCTCGGATGGGCTTTGTGTAACAGACACAAGTGAACCTAATGCAATAGATAAATGCTCACCCAGTATTTCATGAGGTTTGATCATTCGCAGCTCAAAGAATGTATTGTAGCAGTCCAGTGCTGCTAAGAACATATCCATCCACCGCATGACAGTCTGTAAACTGAACGGCTCCTGCATACCACGGAGAGTTGGCTGAGAAAGGATCCCAGATGGACTTTTGGCATCGCTGCCACCTCCTTCAAATTTGTTAATGAGAAAAGAAATTTCTCGGTTTTTTAGAGCATCAGCCAGCCAAGAAGATGGAGACTTGTTTCCTGATAGAAATAAAAACAGAAGTATAAATTCTCTAGGAAAAACACATATCAACCAACCAAGGAATTAGAAGCAAATGGAGTGATATGCCCAAACTTTGCATTTTAAACTGGATCTTCTAGCAGAGGAGGTACTGGTTCTGGTCTAGCCTTAGCCATTACCCACAAGGAAGAGGCAAATTTGCAAGTAAAATTTGCTAGATGCTTCCACTACTTCCCAGTCGGCAAATACTGCCTCTGTAGCTGGATACAACAGCAGCTCTGGGCCTGTAAGTTCTCCTTCTTGGCTGCGAGGAAGCTGGCAATAAAACACTCTCCTATGCCCACAAACCCCCAAGAAACACTGAGGTTTTCACAATATTTAGTTTCCAATATAAGCAACTACTCAGTTTCTATTTAACAGCACGAGTGAACAGACATTCACGTCAAAAATAATTTTTTTCTAATTAATACTTCGCACAGAAAACAGAGGGAGGGCACACATAGCATTTAGAAAGCAAAGATAATAGCACATTGTGTCTTACAATACCTGGTAGTAAAGGAACAAATTCATAGAAGAGCTCCATGGCTTTATGTCTGCACTCTGTCTGAGGTCGTCCACACTGCACCAAGAGCCACATGACAACGTCCACAAGACACACTGACTTAGTGGCTGGAAATCCTCTGCACAAAAATTTAAGGGATTAACAGTCCTTATGACATCTACGAAGGTGCCACAGTCTTCCAGTTGAAAAAAAATCAAAGTGTTTCATGAGCATTATGAGTGTACTTTTATCTACCTAACCACAACCCATCTGCATCACATGAAAGCGCTCTTCTACAAGCACATCCTGCACTGCTTTCTTTTCTACCCACTTTACTATGGATCACCAGAGCAGTCTTTGCAGTAAAATCTTAAAAAACAGAAACATGTCTCTCTCCTTCTCTTTGTAACACTCTAAGAAACAAAAATAGGGACTAAAGCTTAAATAAGCCCACACAGTTTTCCTCCATCTCTGACTATCCAGTCTCCTGACTTACCATATGCCACAGCAGCGAGCTAACTCCCAGACTCCACTTGTCCGTTTCTATAGAGTCAGAGGATAACTCAGGTCAGAAGTGACCTCAGGAGGTCTCTAAAGCCTCAGGAGGTCTCCTGCTCAAAGCAAGGTCAGCTATGCAGTCAGACCAGGTGCCTCAGAGCTCCATCCAGGCTGACAGGGAACCCACTCTTGCTTCTTCCACCTTTTCACTACCCCTGTTTAATCACTGATCACCCTACTGCCGCTTGACCTACTTCTGCTAACACTCACAGCAATTGAAATAAACAAATAAAGAAATAAATAAAATACTCATGAGGACTTTCCTCAAAATGCTCTGCAACACCTGTGCTGACGGTATTATAAACAGTGCTGTGACAGACACAAGCTTTTCTTTCCCTTCCGTCCTTGCCAAACTAAAGCAAGCTCTCTGTTCTGAGCTAACTGTGCTGGAATATAGAATGACCATCATGATCCCTCTTTATCACATCCAGCACTTCTCACCAGTGGTTCAACAGATGGATCAGGAGATCTCTATCAGCAACAGTCACAGGATGAATTCCCCATTCAGTCCTAAGTATTAATGGAACTACATACATCAATAACCAAAATGTAATATTTAAAAAGCAAAAGAATGGCAAATTGCTGACCGTGGTACTCGCCGTTTTCCTTCCTTGTTCAGAGAAGGTGCTTTATGCTTGATTATGCGCTTCAGGTGATTAATAGTATCACAACATTGTTGAGTGGTACCTGTTAGAAAGAGAGAATTGACATGTATAAATAAATGCTGGTAACATGGTTAAATGAATCACGGTATTACAACTACAGAAATGGTGCAAGAGACTTACACACAGGATAATGTCTATCACCTCTACTACTCTGTGCTTCTACAGTAAATTTTTCAAGACTGTAGAACAAGATCACAAAACAGTAGATAGGTCAACATGGCCTGAGTCAAGTGTGAGGCCTCCACTATAAAACTGTGTATTTCATTTTCCATGCTCATGCTTAGAGAAATTGTATAATATTCCCAAAGGAATCACAGAATCACAGAACGTTAGGG